TTGGTCTTATCTTGACTTGAGGATCATGTGTACCGAATTTCATGGCTCTACGGCAAACTTGACCTCTGAAACTCCCATTGGCTGTTGTAGGTGGCGCTGTTCTTGCATTTTTTGAGCAAACACCAAAATATCAAATTTTGCACCAGGTCTGATGTTTGGGCAAAATGTTACAACTTTTCATGCATGATCAGGGGGTCAAATTAAGGCTCAAAGTGCAGAATTTGACATCTCTCGGGCAAAAACAATAGGCCCTTTCCCCGTTCGGGGCTTGGGACTAATTACCAACCAAGTCAACGTGGAAGTCACTGGCAAACACGGCTGTAGCTCAATCTCAGCGCAACCACACAGACAAAGACATACACACACACACAAACACACACATATACACACACACAGATACACACACACACAGACACTGACACAGACACACACACAGACATAGACACACACACAGACACAGACACACACAGACACTGACAAACACACACAGACACACACACACACACAGACACAGACATAGTCACACACACAGACATAGACACACACACAGACACAGGCACACACAGACACAGACACACACACACACACACACACACAGACATAGGCACACACATTGACACAGACACACACAGACATAGACACACACACAGACATAGACACGCACACAGACACACACACACACACAGACACTGACATACACACACAGACATACAGTAGACACACACACAGACACACACTGACAGACACACACAGACTTAGACACACACAGACACACACTGACAGACACACATAGACATAGACACACACACAAACACAGACACACACACAGACACAGACACACACACAGACACAGACACACACAGACACTGACATACACATACAGATAGACACACACACAGACACACACTGACACAGACACACACACAGACACAGACACACACACACAGACACAGACACAGAGGTCAGAGAAGCAAACGCAGGGACAGGTGCGCGCCAGCGTCTTTTTTTTTCTTTGCGGTGCGTTCTCTGCATGAAATGGAAAGACTCGAGACATTTTAAAATGGATGGTTACAACCAATTTCACGGAACAATAACAGTATCTATACATAACCTATATCTGGACGCGTTTTAAAAATCCTGGGTTTAAAAAAATCCTGGGTTTAAAAAAATATATTTTTAAATCTTTCTATTATTTTTGTTCTATAATTTTAGGTGACATATTTTTAGATGGGGCTAGCCTCTCCCCTGGAGGCGACCCAAGTCAATTGGCGCAATTAGGCGCAAAGAATACAATTAAAGCTGCCTGACTGATAAACATGCTGAAACTTACTTTGGATACTACACTTGTCTGCAGTATGTTCAGCGACTTTGAGCCCTATTTGCATAACGGCTGAGGCTGGTTTGGCAAAGTGTACACGTCACTCTTTTGATGCTCTGCCTCTGTATGATGCGCTAATGCTGCAATTTCATGTTTTTCACTTTCAGCCGACCTAGATACAAGAGTTTAACAAACAATTCACGTTTGGTACAAAACTATGGATCTTATATAATATCTGGATAGGGTATTGCTAGCTTATAGCGGTCCCAACCCCAGGGGGCGCCCGTGGTACTGCAGACAGGGGAGTGTTTGCCATGGGCTCTATGCACGCACCACTTCCGCATTTTAGCTACAACCCCACCTCACTTCCTGTTCTTGGGAAATGGCTTGAGTTTCACTGGAGTTCAACAGTGGTTTACCCAAGTTTCCCAAATAATGCTCAAACGGGAATTAAACTGTGAGGATACTGGGCATTTTTGGGACACAACAGTGCTCCTTGATTGTGCCGTCATTGTGTTTTTATAAAGTTTAATTTAGTTTAAGTTTAGTGGCCACAGTCAAAGCTCTACCTCAGAGAGAAAGCACAGTGACACTTTTGGGTCAGTCTCACAGCTGAATGTATCAATCTAATTACTAAAAGGAAGTGAACGGGCTGATCTGCGTTAACAGGAAATGACATCACGCCTCCCCTTGCATATAGCCCATTGCAGCGGCTACACAGTGAAAAAAATAACATACATGTAGTTGACTGGTGCTTTGTGAATAGAGATGAGAATGAATGAATATGTAGTTGACTTTTTGGATCAGAATTAAATGACTTTTTATGTGTAAACTGGAGCCAATTTGGGGTTCTCAAAGTTGGAGGAAAAAACATCCACTTTTGCCACTCTGGTGCTGGAACACCGTTTAATTGATCAAAATTCTAAGTTTTGATGCTACACGTTATACGCAAACCCCGCCGACCCAAGATGGCGCCCTATTCAAATGAATGGCTTGAGCTAAGTAGCGCGTTGGATATACACTGGGGCCGAGAGATTACTGGAACTCGCCCATATTTGGGCATAGTCTGGTCCTCCCGGTTCTGCACAGTGGACGAGCTCCCATTGCAGTAAAGTGTGGATTTAAAGAAAACCAAAGGATTCAAAGAGAAAAATAGTTCAGAATGATGAGAGACACTAACATCTCCACAAAATCTGACCTTTATGAAAGCTGCAGGTTCTCTGTCAGCTTAGGTCGAGCTGTTTTAGTTTACATTGAATTCTATCGGACATTTTTCCGGGTAGCCCACGTGAATGTAGTCTGCAGTACTACAGGCGCCCCCTGTTACCCTGGGTGGGACGACTATAAGCTAATAATACTCTGTCCAGATATTATTATGGATCCATGCTAGATGCACGCAACCGTCACGTTTTGGTCAGTGACGGGCACTGACGCGTCCATCACACACCCTGACCCCTTGCATTCACCATTCTGAAAGCAATTGGTCCTTGCCAATTTGGCGCTCGGGCCTGATAATTTAGGATTCTTTTCCGTCATCTGGAGCAAAAACAATTTAGGTTTCAATGGCACATGATACATCATTGTAAAGCATTTGAGTTTATGCACCCAACCATTGCATCCGTCACTCACCGCCACCAAGACGGTGCGTGTTTACTTCCTGCAAACGGCAAGTGCAAAAGGGCACAGAGTGATGCAGGTTGATATTCTGTCTGTAACAAAAGAATTCATGATATAATATAAGATAAGATAAACTTTATTGTCCCAAGGGAAATTTGCTGTAGGATACAGTGCTACACAAATCTGCATGAATGAAAAAAATAAAAAGTAACATTACAAGAAAGTGCAGTAATCCAATAGAATCAACATGAATGAATTGATGAAAAAAGAAAGACATAAAAGAGTAAAAATTTCCAGTTTTGGAGTGCATTTTTTGTCAATTATGTTTTTGTTTAAAAGTGCCGCTGAAGTTGGGACAAAGGAGAGCTTGAAGTGGGTTGTCCTGTGTCTCACAGCCCTAAAGCAACGTCCTGATGGCAGGGTCTGGTACTCCCCATGCAGGGCGTGTTGGGGAAAATGTTTTGAGCCAATGAGAATGTGGTCTGCTCGAAGATCAGCTGGAAAAGGGAATTTTTCCTTACAACTCTATGACTTTACCACCAAATGAAAATGAATAAGTTATCTTGAGTTTTCCAATCTGGTGGATGTAGCTATTCAACTATATCCTTAAGCAACATCTAATGGCATTTGGTTGCATTGAGCAAAGAGCAGGGTGAACTCTTGTATCAATAATGAATGCTTGTTATGCTGCTTTCACTTCACAGTTGAATGCCACTGTGTGTTGGTCTTTCACACAAAAAATCTAAAAATGATGTACATACTTTTTTGAAGCTCTGTGTTTGAGTTTCCTGACTTGTTGGTCCTTCTTTTCTGACACATGTTATTTCAAATTACGTAATTTAAAATAGTCTGGCTGGACAGGCTGCTGTCTGTGAGGTTCACAGTGATTTCAGTGATTTATGAGCTTTACAATAGTCTTGGTTGTGTCCTTGGTTTACTCATTATTCAATTCAGGATAAACCTAGTTGTGTCTAATTAAGTCCAGGTTTTTTAGTATGTTCCAGTGTGCAAATGACAAGAATTTCATCATAATAATGAAGAAGATGACAAAGTCTGGGATCGCGTCTTTCAATCTGACAGAAGACATCTTTTATTGTCAATGGTAGACAGCACGAACAACACGAACAACCGAATGCAAGTGTATTATACAGAGCGGGCTACAATTTAAAAAAAATATATACATTTAATTAGAAATAGTTACATAATTCCATCCATATGCCTGAGCCACCCCTTGATGTGGAAAAGCATCGGGTCTACTCCGAGCTCCCTCTGTGTGGCTGAGCTCCTCACCCTATCTCTAATGGAGCTCCCAGCCCCTCTGTACAGGATGCTCATTTTGATTATTGGTATTTGCAATTTTGTTCTTTCATACAAATAATTCTGTTTACTTTTGAATGCGCTGGAAAACGGCAGCAAGTCCTGAGTAGCTCTGAAACAGTTGTTATTTTGTGCTTTAACCTTTTTCATTGTTATTGCTTTTTTCTAACTGAGATGTTGCTGCCATCTACAACATGGTTTTGCACTGGTCCAGACCGGGGCAAAGAGGATTCATGGCCCAAACCAAGCGATTCAAGTGAAAATCCACTGGAGAAATGCTAATGAAGCATTTAGCATTTTACTTCAGACTAGAGCAGAGAAAATTGTCTGTACCAAGCGGCTGCTCCACCTCTGCTACTGTGACCCTATCTATTCAATGCCATATATATTAAATTTTAAATATTAAAATATATAAGTATTTGATGAAAATGTAAAACATTATAACCACCATCTTGCATGTCATCATAGTAAAATAGTAAAAGTTAATTCTATGTATGAACCAAATTTAGATCAAGATAATTCTAATGGGTTTATTTGAATTGTGAATTGTGCTATACATATAAACCATACCTTGCCTATTTAAGTGTAGTATAGAAGATTTAATCCAAAACTCTAAATGTGTGGGATTTTACTTAGACTTTACACAGAAATGGTATTTTCATAAACCATCACAATCTTTGACATATTGGGAATCAGAGCTTTACCCTGAAAAGGTGCGTCAAAAGCATTGCTCCTGTTTTGCACACGTCTACTTTATGGCCTCAACTCCAGTCATGTCTTGATTTTGTGGTTCATCCTTGTCCTTATCATTCAACACTTTGTTCCCCTCCTCCATCTGTTCGATCTGAATTCGCAGTTGTTCTTTGTCATTTCTAATCACCTCGTCCTCAATAGCTTTTTGTAACTCATTTTTCTTTTTGTCTTCTTTTTCTGCCTGCTCCAACTTCTGCAGCTTCTTCTGCTTTCTGGAGTAGGACAGGTTCTTCTCGGGGTAAGTGACTTTAGCCAGAGGCAGCTTAAAAATCTTATTAGTGCCTGTGGTGATGAGCAGAAATGTCAATGCAGAAAGGCAAAAGGGCCAGGTGCATGCTGGGAGCCCAAACTGAGGAAGCAAAACCCAAAAGTTTTGTATGAGAGAAAATTTGGACATGGTTAAGGCATAGAAGAAAACTATAACTATAAGAACTAGACCTGTCAAATTAACAGGCACTACTACTTTTGTTTGCACTGTTTCAATGAGAGTGCTTTCATATTGAAATGACTACTTCAACTTATTGTAGTACAAACTAAAAAGCAGGATGATTCACTGAAAAATACATCCCAGACAAATCTATATCATAATTTTATTGGAAAAAAATAAACACCAAACAAAAGTGCCTAACTCAATTTGAAAGAGGAGAGAGAAAAAAATCTTCGAGTGAAGGCAATGCACAATAGATATTTAGTGCCACAAAGCTTGATCTGATCAATTTGTCGATATAGTAAATATCCCTGCAACATTCATCTCACAGACTAAAGAAGAAGACAAAAAGATTGTACAAGAATAGAATAACTCACCGTTGACATTATGTTGGCAATAGCTGAGCCAAGGTATGCACAGAAAAATGCTATGGAAATATTGTACAGTATCAGTGAGTTGTTTGTGGCGGAGAACAAAAAACGTCCATCAAAAGCAAATGTACTTACCACATGTGATCGCAAGAAGATGGACCTGCCAGGTCAGGGTGTAAAACATGCCCCCAATAGCAATGCACGCCAACACACAGTTGTATCCCCACAGGCCAAAGTAAATGTCCCCAAACGGTGCGGCCAGTGCAAGACCTGCGTAACAAGCACAAGAGTGGCTGTGCTTACTCCTCTATTTTGTACTATTATTATCATACACGTGTACATTTACATGCCACAGACTCTCTTTCTTTTGACTTTTTGTTTAGTTTTCTCACCTGAAACCATACCCACCGCCGAACCCAGGACTGCGTGAATGCATGTGATGGGTGACGAAATAAAAAGAGAAATAATGAATATGCCCCCAGTCCAAGGATTGTCGCATCCATAGACTTGGCCTATTCCCACAGGCACCGACATAAACAGCTGTGAACAAAATAACAAATATCATAGATGAGAGGAAATGACTTTGCATATGAAAGGAAGCCTAGCAGACCCATGTTGAAAGCTTGAAAAAGAATGTGACCTTTTGCAGGTCTATCTCTGCCCAGGTGATGTTGGCCAGCTCAGATCGTGGCTGGATCAGGACCTGGGGGAAGTGATGGTTGTAGTGTCCAGTGGCGACCATGTGCAGACACACCAGGATGTTAAAGGGAAGAGTGAAAACTGGAAGGTCCCAACGACTGTTTATGGAGGCCAGAGCACTGGATACTATAGGACTGAAAAGAAATGACACATTTACTAAGCAACATGCCTGTTAAAGTTACCTACACAATTGGGCCTCATTCACGAATAACTACGTAAGAAACTACTCAACTTTCTTCTCAAGTTGTCCTTAAGTAGATTTCTAGGAAGTCCCCACGTGGGATTCATCAACGCACTCGTAAGCCGCTGAATTGTTCGCAGCTGTTCTCTCAGATTGATGAATCCCATTTCCTCGTAAGTACAGCGCGCGTGCCAGGTGCTTCATTACCATAGGTACTTAGCATAAGTAACCGCCCATTAATGCCCATATAAGGGACTGCAGGGCCGTGTGCAGACGCCAGAGGAAACAGCAACAGGCCTAAAGCAGGCTTTTGCCAGACTGAGAATAAAGTTATAAAATGTTGACTTAAAAGTCGAAATATTATGATAATAAAGTCGAACTAGCAAAATTATGAGATTAATCTAAGAATATGATGAGATTAATCTCAAAATGTTATGATCTTAATTTAAAAATATATTATGTATTATTTTAAAGATGAATCTCAAAATGTTTTGAGATTAATCTCAAAATATTTTGGACCCTGGGAGGAGATCCAGCGCGGACCAGCGCTGAGACCAATGCAGACCGCGGAGAGACCGCATAGACTGGAGTGACCTGACTGGAGAGACCGGTGCGCAGAGACCAGCGCGGACCGAAGATAGACCGCATAGACCAGACTTGAGAGCAGAAAGGGCAAGCACTATTTGCGACTCACGGCAACTTCCGGTGACTCGCGTGACTCAGGCGCTGTGAGCCGCGACTCAGCAGCCAGAAGTCGTGACTCACCGTTAAAAATAACACAATTCTTTGCTTCTCAGGGGTATCTGGGAATGATCAATGAGACAATATGGATCTGGAGGCATTGTTTACAAGTAATCAGTATGTTAGACACTCTACATCAGCTAGTATGTGTTTGTATAGCAGTCCATGTCCGTTAACCACTGACTCAGGCGCTGTGAGCCGCGACTCAGCAGCCAGAAGTTGTGGCTCACGGTTATCAATTTAGCTTTTTAGGGGTATCTGTTGATTATCAATGACACATTGTGGATCTGGAGGCATATATTTACAAGTAACCAGTATGTTACACACTCTTCATCATCTGGTATGTGTTTATATAGCTCTCCATGTTCGTTAACCACTGACTCAGGAGCTGTGAGTCGCGGCTCAGGAGCTGTGAGTCGCGGCTCAGGAGCTGTGAGTCGCGGCTCAGGAGCTGTGAGTCGCGGCTCAGGAGCTGTGAGTCGCGGCTCAGGAGCTGTGAGTCGTGGCTCACAGTTAAAATACAGCATATTTTTGCTTTTTAGGGGTATCTGGGAATTTCTAATGAGACTATATGGATCTGGAGGCATAGTTTACACGCCTACTTCACGACACGCCTCTGTCCTGCAGGTCGCAGAATGACTACTTCGAACCCGCAGCAACACCTTTTTGAACAGGTGTGGGCTTATTCTATACATTAGCACGTAGCTCAACATGTCCTTCCAGTGATGTGCGGCACCACTCTGCTGCTATTCATGACTGAGCTGTATATGTTCCTGTATTGGGAGACAAAGTAACAGCTCATGTGGAAACAAATGTTCATGTTATAGTGCAATGTGTGCAAATGTATTAGCTACAGCCAAGTGCAAAACTGAAATGTATCAAACCTAAACCAAATCTTTATTCTTTATAATTGGTCTATTAAAGTGAATTACGTTGTGCATTTTTTTATAAAGTTTGTTTTCCTTCTCTTCTGTGTGTGGCTCATCTTGATGTGTCGTCTCAGTAGTTCTGTAATTCAAGAATAACCGGTTAACTACACTTAATTTTTGCATAGAAAAGAAATGAGAGAAAAGAGGCATTAAGGAGAAAAACATGTCTTGATGGCTGCAGCATGACACCTGTATTTCCACTGCATTTGTATCCTGTATAATGCTCCAGGATCAGATGTTTAAAGGGTATAAGGGAGCTACACTTTTTGGAAACCCTAAAACATTTGATTCAGGATGATCACGGAGGCAGTTATGAGGGAAAGTACAGGTGCCATGCAGCAGTCATACAGCCACTGGGCCACCAAAGGCTCAAATAAGCATCTTCAAACATTTCACCACAACAGAAGTTACTTGAATTCTGTATTTTGAACATCTGGGTTCGGTAACATGATCATATAAAATTATGTCATTAGGGTCTTTCTCTTTAATTCTCTATTTACAATAGTAAGTCCACCTCAGCACACTATCCTCTAAAGTTAACAATAATCATTTTTTTTAGAATTAAAATGCCCTGAAATGAAATGCCCTGATGCTTGTGTTTGTTCAAAGACAAAGAAATCTCTACTCTGGGTTCTTGGCTCACTTTGTCATCCACATTATATTACTATAAGGACAAATTGGTACAAGTGGCTTTTATAATTGTGTTTGTTTGTGTATTGTATGTATTTTTTCAAATGCCTTTAGCATTATTAATAAATAACAAATAATAATGTCTCAGTGGTTTTTTAGTTATTTATTTCTTATGTGACCAAACCTGTGTTATACACCTTGCCTCATCTTTTGTCCTATGGAGTATACACTCTGCTCTGTATCTGCAAGTTTTGTGTATTCTTTGAAGCCACAGAATTACAACCAAGGAATTTTACACAAGTTTTTTTTTTTTTTTCCTGTTTAAATGTCATGCCCTTTAAAATGTTAAAATGATTAAAAGACAGATTCCAAAAAACGAAACAAAATAACCTACCTCAATATTTTGGTGAAATTTAAATTGCAAGCGAGATGTCCAACGTCGTGCATGATTCAACATGAGATTAGACAGCGCCCCCTGGTGTCAGCAGACGAGTCCTGACTTATGTCTCGTAAGTCACTTGTTAACAATAGAGTAATACAAACACATATCAGCTGGTAAAGTATGTATGAGGCACTGAGGACATGGAAAATGTTCATCCAGATACATTAATAATTCATAAATACTCCTAAAAAGTCTTTTTCATTAGAATATGAAATAAGCCCTGCAAATACATGTAATAATCTGTATTTAGGCCTGTATCACTTAATCAACCACTTGCACTATGACTGTAAACCTGCGCTGCTAATACTGAGTCTGTTTATTTTACTAAGGATGCACCAATACCAATATTAGTATTGTGCCGTTTCCACATACTTGTGCCGTTTCCACATACTTGTGCTCATACTCATTCATGAGGTCCCATGACTGTATATAAGATACCACGATGGGGCGTCTTGCTTCAGTGGGAGCAGGTGGTTGTGGGGGCACGACCCCACGATCATTAGGTCCAAAGACCAAAGCTCTGCCAATTGAGTCACTGTTGCCCCTAATAATTCCCAGATACCCCTAAAAAGCACAGATTTGTGGTATTTTTAACCGTGAGCTATGACTTCTGACTGCTAAGCCGCGACTCACAGCTCCTGAGCCGCGACTCAGGAGCTGTGAGTCAGTGGTGAACAGTTCATAGAGATCTATACAAACAAATACCAGCTGATGAAGAGTGTGTAACATACTGATTACATGTAAACTATGCCTCCAGATCCATATTGTCTCAATAGAAATTCCCAGAAACCCCTAAAAAGCAAAGATTTGTGGTATTTTTAACTGTGAGCCTCGACTTCTGGCTGCTGAGTCGCGACTCACAGCTCCTGAGTCAGTGGTTAACGAACATGGAGAGCTATATAAACACATACCAGATGATGAAGAGTGTGTAACATACTGGTTACTTGTAAATATATGCCTCCAGATCCACAATGTGTCATTGATAATCAACAGATACCCCTAAAAAGCTAAATTGATAACCGTGAGCCACGACTTCTGGCTGCTGAGTCGCGGCTCACAGCTCCTGAGTCAGTGGTTAACGGACATGGAGAGCTATATAAACACATACCAGATGATGAAGAGTGTGTAACATACTGGTTACTTGTAAATATATGCCTCCAGATCCACAATGTGTCATTGATAATCCACAGATACCCCTAAAAAGTTAAATTGATAACCGTGAGCCACGACCCCTGAATGCTGAGCGTGAGCCGCGACTCAGAGCGCCTGAGTCACGCGAGTCACCGGAAGTTGCCGTGAGTCGCAAATCGTGCTTGCCCTCTCTCCTTGAGAGACCAGCGCGGACCCGTAGGATCCAGGAGCATGCAGCACGGACCCGTATGGAGAGACCAGTGCAGACCCGTATATGGGAGAGACCAGCGCAGACCCGTATAGATCCATGGGAGAGACCAGTGCAGACCCGTATAGATCCATGGGAGAGACCAGCGCAGACCCGTATAGATCCATGGAAGAGACCAGTGCAGACCCGTATAGATCCATGGGAGAGACCAGTGCAGACCCGTATAGATCCATGGGAGACACCAGCGCAGACCCGTATAGATCCATGGGAGAGACCAGTGCAGACCCGTATAGATCCATAGGAGAGACCAGCGCAGAGACTCAGCGCGGACCCAGTAACCTCCTGCAGCAGCAGTATATATGCCGTTGTTCTGTGGCCCGTGAATAAAGAAATGCCCCCTATAAATAGGAAGGGGTCACTAATACACGGCAAGATTTCCAATGTATTTGATAAAGCGTTGGCACATTTCATTTCAAAATGAATTAAAAAGTAGGCCAGATCTGCAGTGAAAAAGGCGGTATATAAATAAAGATTACTAATAAAGATTACTACAAATAAATAAATACATACATCGATATGACGGACATATCACTGGAATGTTGTATTTTTATTCAACTTCACCAAAGAGGACAACCCCGGCGTGTGAACATGTCGGCACTGAATGCGTACGAGTGCTCCTGAGGACTCGTAGGATTTGTACTTGCCCAAGACAAATTCTGGTTACGAGAAATATTCGTGAATGCCACTTTCTTCGTAAAAACCGCGTAAGTACAAATCTGTTCCTAAGAACCGTTCGTGAATGAGGCCCATTGTTCTCAAATGCAGGATAATGCAAGATACTGTATTATCCTGTATTCTGTATCCTGTATTATTATTATAGATACTGTATACTGTAATACTATCAATACTGAAGTATCCTTTAATTTACAACATATTGCTCATATTGTAAATATTATGTGAATATATACGGTAATGCATTTTAATAATTTGGACCCCAGGCAGAATAGCAAAAGCTCTGCTGTGCTAATGGGGATCCCTTCAATAAACAAACGTGTGTTTATTCTAATATTTGTGACATAAAACATGATGCTATAGTTTTGAATGGGAAATCAATGAACCAGTTTCTATTTTTAACTGGGTGTGATAATTTCTGTGGCATCTATAAACTAGATAGTGAAATTGTCTGTTAAGATTTGTTAATAATTCTTTTTTTGTTTTTTTACTTACCACATCATAGACATAAAGATGTTCGGCAACAACAGCCACCAGTACCAGTCTCCTTTGTTGGAGAACACTGCCATAAGCAGGCCCACCAAGATACCATTGTATCCATATAACCCAGCTGCTATCGCACCCCTGCCAGACAGTAAAACATAATTTATCTCTGTCATCTCTGAAAGAGATGACAATTACAACAATAGTTAAAGGAATGTGCACCAACCGGTTTTGTTGTAGAATAAGAGCAGAAAGTGTTGCAAAAAGTGTTCCCACAAATCCATTGAGCGCCCACCAGTAGTTCTGAAGGATGAGACCCGCAAAAATGATCAGTCCACTCAGAGGGTTGTTCACAAACATGACCTGCGCAGCGCCTCTCAACACCCAGTCCATCAGCTGGAGAAGAATGAACTGTCCTGGACAAGCACAGAAGAGTTTCATATCATGGACAATTTTGTTAGATTAGAGTCAAATATCCCACTCCTTTGTTTATCCCATCTATAATTTATCAATGAAAGTGAAAACTACGGTTTAAAGTACCAAGTTGAGACTTACTCTCCATCCATTTAGCGAAAGGTGCCATGTCTCCAGCAAAATAAGATAGGCCCTTGAGGACGCAGGCCCGTGCCTTGTGGAGGGGCCGCGCTGAGGGGGCCCCTGGCTGGTCATGGTTTGACTGCTTTTCAAGGGTCTCCTGAGGAAGAGCCATCAAGGGCTGCAGCTCCTGAAGGCATGAATTCACTGTTACTTATGTAAGAATTTGCATTGATCAGCAGAGAAAAAGTGTCGTAGTTTACTCACACACGAGGGGTTATCAGGAGATCGGACTAGTGACACTTCTGATGGAAAGATGGAAAGAGCTTTTGGACCGTCCTGTGACACATGCAGGGTTTTAAGGTAATATTCAAAATCAATTATTACATGTATTTCTTATCTTGAAAATATCATTATAATAAGTAGAACATCAAAGTATAATTTTGGCTGTTCTGGGGAATACATCACACTGACCCTTTCACAAGATCCACAGAGACTCAACGATAGGACTAACATCACTTCTAATCAGGACCAAAGCATAACCTTGTACTCACTATTCTATGGAAATCTTCTAAAAATTGGTAATCCGTGGACCATTTGTCCTATGTCAAAATGTAGTCACTCTGTGAACATAACTCTCCTGATCTCTTGACTAATGAATGACCATGTACAAGTCTACAGTGGGCACAGTTGTGTGCGGTGCTCTTACCTTTGAGCTGTGTTGTGCAGTCATATGGCCCAGATTGAGCACGTTCCTCACCTTCCCCCTGGAACTTTCGTCCAAATACTCTCTCTGTACTTTTATAGAGCAGCAAACCCAGCCTCCACCGACTTTCTCTTTAGCATTTCCTTTTCTCATCCGCAGCAGGATTTTTTGAATGACTTTTAGCACTGATAATCTTATCTCTCCAATTGTTCTGAGCCGACACACATGCTTGCACATTTCTAGAACATTTCTAGCTAAGTTTAAAAGAGGTCATGACAAATTTCCTTTTTTGTTTGTCCTTTTTTAAATTTGTTTTTAACGTTGCAAAAAACTATTACACTGCACTGCACCCTTGATAAACATGTAGCAGATTCTTTAATTATAGACCGTGGCGCCCTACATTCAACATGAGAGGCATGATCAAAATAGTGCTGCTGCCAGAGTCCAAGGTGAATGACCCCATGCTGGTCCTCGTACACTATTTTTACCATTTTTAAGGAACACTATGCAACTGATTAATGATCCCAACTTTCAGGTGAATGTTCCTTTTATCGGTTTGTGTCCGTGGAGATATTGTTTACTTAGCATGGGACAATATTCAAAATATTAAATTACAGGTGTTTTTATCTGTAAATATGATATATTTTTTATGTATATAATTACTCACATACTGTGCAATTTTCCAAAATAATATAATCTCCCTGACAAACTGTCAGGAAAGTTGCATTATGTGAATTTTCTACTGTTATTAAACCAGTGTCCAAATGTAACTTCCTTTTCAATAGATACTTCTTTTGATCTGATAAGAGCTTTGAAAAAATCTCTTATCAGAAGAATGCAAAACTTGCATTCTTCTCTCTCAGCCTTCCATTGTGTTATATTGCAATTACAAACTAGAAACTGTTCTACAAAAGACTAAAAATTTCAGAAACAAAAAATGACAAAAAATAAAGAATATAATTTTGCAATTATTTACACTTTTATGAACCTTTAGAACTGCGGAAAGAACTGCTATTACATCCTTATTATACCATCACTCCCTAATTACACTATTACACCCTTACTATGGATGGCTACCTGAACTCAGATTTCTGATGTTGATATAGTTGCTAATTTAAATGCTATTGTTTACATTCACTTATACTAATGACACCTGTAAAAAGGGTAGGCAATATAAGCATTAGCTTCAGCCTACTCCTTTTCGGTCTTTGTTTCTGCTGAAATTTACTATCCTGGCGATGTGTAAAATGCACAAGTGACCGAAATAAAATATAAGAACAATACTACACTTCTACACCCTTATTACAGTATTGTACCCCGATTACGATTTACAAGTAAGTAATCTTTATTTATATACCGCCTTTCTCAGACCAGAGTCACAAAGCGGTTTACAATTGTCTGCATTTGTCCTCTCACTCCACACAGAGATGGAAGTGGGGTCGCCAGTACAGGAGGAGCATGACAGACCTATTATACATGTTTTTAGTGGTAGGAGAAACCGGAGTACCCGGAGGAAACTGATACATACAGCAAAAGTAACAGCCCCCATGATTCAAATGTACTTGCCATTTGCAGTAAAACCACATTGGAAAAACTGTGCAAGACTGCCCCAGTGTCAGACAGAAAAGGATAAAAGAAGACGGTATAACAACTACAAGAATATACAGTCACTCAATAAAGAATACAAGTAAAGAAAGTAAGTGTATGTAGCCACTTAAAAAAACCAAAGAAGCAGTGTTATGTAAGTGGTACGAGATACTGTATGTTTGTGTTTTCTGCATGTAGCCTATAAACACGAGTACACATCCCCCACAACCTATTAGAACTTGCAGACATCAGGTCACCACAGAAGGAAGAGGAAGTTTGTCCAGGCCAGGTCCTAAGCTGTAATTACAAAATCATGTTTGCTATTGTTATTGTTTATCCAGGGAATGTGACTTTGGGTGTGGACGTTAAAGGGAACAAAATGTGTGTAGAATTGAACTGTGTTTCAACTGCAAATCCGGTGTGTTAATCAGAGCCACAACAATGAGCCAGGCAAACCCCATTGGCTTTGGCGTCCAGTCTAAAAATGTTCAAGGGTAAGGATTCAAAATGTGAATGGGCAGAGAGTGAGGGTTGGATCAGTCTGGTTGTCCTGGTTTGTATGGACAGACCGGCTCTCTGGAGGCAGTAGCCGCAGACGTTTTTAATCAATTAGCAAAAACGACCATGCTCCTTCGCAGCGTTTCGATGACCTCGGAAAACAATGTAATTCAGAGAATTCACATGGCTCTGAAAAAGCCCCCGCTGAGCAGCATATCTGTTCTGTTCCACTCTGGAGGCTGTTTCTCAATGCTTGCGTTTTCACCCCCCGGAAACATTGTCTTCATGTAATCAGGAGGCCAAACCGATACCCAATTCTAGCGTTATACTGTCGCAGCTTTTACGTCTAAACGGGTGCCCTCCAGGAAACGTATCTGCTATGACTTGGAGGTTTGTATTTACACTTCCGAGCTGGAATAGTAGTGTGAATGAGCCAGGCATGAGCTAGCACCTGGTAATTAGCTCTGGTAACATCCTGATCATCATCTTCTACATTTGTGCAGTTGTACTTCTTAAATATAGCTGTTAAGATCAGTGTTCTCATACAACTGTCCTTATTTTGTGTTATTCACTTTAAAGACCTTATGCCGGGTTTAAAAAAAAAAAATTGTGGCTATCAAAATGCTCTAACCTGTGTGTGACGTCATAGCGGGTAACGCCCATGCATTGAAAACCATGGACTGCCTTTTCTCTCTTCTCTCCACTGATGCCCAACACAATACTGCACTCTACAGGTGACAATTGCTCACTACACATAAATTGCCGTTTTGAGAATGAAAATGTATCTCTGGTGAGAATTGAACCCCAGTATCAGGATTGGTAGTCCATTGACACAACCACTGGACTATCTCAGTGCCAACAAAGACTTGCAATCTAGTAGTAATTTGATACTCGCTGTACACGGCCTTGTCATCTTGAATATCCGCGAAAAAAGAACTAATACCAAATTGTAAACAACTTACAGCGTTGAAACGTACTCGTTCTGACGTCACCAAGGGCTGTGAAGTTTTTTCGTCTCTAAGGGCGTTGCTATGGGGTTATTTCGATTTGGGGGATCAGACAAAAAAACAACAACTGATTTTGAAACCTTTAGTAGTTCTCTTCTAACATAAAATGGTATTAAAACTGTATTTCTAAATAAATCAAACCCGGCATACGGTCTTTAAATTGTGTCAGTGTATGTTTTATATTTTACTTTGGAACTTCCTGTTAAAAGTGAATTTTTACCATTTACTTCCTGTTGCCGCCTTATTAATATACAAAACAGTTGCCAGCCTAGACGCTCACAGGCCTCCAGAGGTCCCAGTGAGCACTGAGCAGGCCCGTCGGAAGGGCTGTGCGACCTGTGCCGTCGCACAGGGCCTCGCACCACACAGGGCCTCGCAATCCTTCCTTTTTTTATTTTTTTATTAAATAAATATACTAGTTCAAGAGTCCCCAAAGGGCGGACTGCGCTCCAAATTCGGACCCCTAATCCCCTTTCTCTGGACCTCTGATTTCTTTTGTTCAAAAGTACATTATTACAAGTGAAGTCAAATTTTCACCAAAAGCGATTTGTAAACAGGCAGGCGCGAGGGCAGCTATCTACGCAGCGGGTCCTCCGAAAAAAAAACTTTACGGAGCTGTCAGATAACTTTAGCAGTGTCTGAGTGAAGAAAGTAACGGGAATGAGCCCAGTGTACGGAGAGATGGATACTCGCGTCTTCCGTATGAGGAGGAGGAGAGAGGAGTGTGACCAGAGGAGGAAGAGGAGGAGCTGCGAAACAGGTGTGTGAGCGCTGTTATTGTCAATGTTGAGCCCGAATATCCACATCAAAAACATATTATAAAAGCATTAGCAAACACTGTATGTCCAACGTTCATGCTACTGTGAGTGCAGTGGATTTTGGGCATAAAAATGTGGTCAGAGTGTGTGGAGGAGGAGGAGCAGGAGAAGGAGCGTATGTTGTGAGTGTGGAGGCATGGCAAAAACGTTATTTGATGAGGAAAAAAATAACAAATATTGACTCCGCCTCATAGCCATTTTGGCGCATTTTGCCGTAATCTAACAATTAGAAAAAGAAGAAGACTCCTTTTGGTTCAATCTTTTGAGTTGCTGCCATTTTGCCACAGGACGAAAGAGCCATGTCAGCTAAAAAGACCGCGACCAATATACCAATGCCAAGCGCGGTAACAGTTTGTGTGTGGGTGCGTGCGTGTGTGTGCGACGCTGCATTGGAGCGAGGACACACGTCTGCGCGCGTGCTGATCTCTTCACGCACAGCGCGAGGCGGTGCTGAATTCATGTCAAATATTATAACATGAAAAACTTTCCTGAGATCTGGGAAAAAGGTGTCAGGGCAGGGCCTCGCGTTTCAAGTTCGCACAGGGCCTCGCGCCCCCCTTGCGACAGGCCTGCCAGTGAGGTCACCTGCTGGTAAGGTGACCTCAATTTCCACACGAGACACGTTTGAAAATACATATTTACAATGCATTAGGTATGTTTGTTTGGTTTTCTGTGAGCAATATTAACTCAAAATGTGTTGGGAGGGTGTTCACTTCACCAGATGAAGAAATGATTACATATTGGAGGAGATTCGAATCATCCTCCGATTGAAGGAATATAGCTGCACTCTGGGATGTGCTCTTCTCGTTCTGGATATTTTAACATGTTCATTCAATATTCAATATTCAATCTAGAGACTGCCTTAATGCCCCCCATCATGTGGTATAAAGTAAACAAATATCAATTAATATTCAATAATGATGTCTGCAATCACAGACATGTTGGTGTCACACACCAGCGACAATGACCAGTGGACTGTAGAGCAGTGCTGACATCTAGTGGAATAAGTGCTGTAACAGGTTTGAAGGTTTGAATACAACAGAAAAACCCAGAAAATCATCAGCTAACTGTTGACATAGTACATATGCAATCATTCCCTAAACTCAGATTCACCTGTATGCTCCCCAAACCTCCCCCAACGTTTGTTTGAGTATTTATGAACATCAGGGGCATTGGATGTATTTATCAAATATGTTAACGTTAGTATTTCAACAGTTGTACTGAAGTATGGTGTTTAACCTTG